GGAGTAGGTAAGCAGGGAGGAGCCGGAGCGAGGAAGACCGGCGTGCGGCGGAGGGGGAACCCGCCTACTGCCCTGTGATTCCCGGGCCTCACACGGCGTCCGTCCTCGGGAGAGTAACAGCGGACGGCCGCTCGCACCCCCGACTTCCACCTCCACTCCTGTCCCTGCTCCGTGTCTAGGCCAGCTGGGGACGCACAGTCCTGCCTTTCCCAAGTCTAGGACGGGCCAGTGGCTGGACTCCAGGGAAGTCCCACGACCTTCAGCAAGAAGGACCTGCACACTCCGTTTCACGGTGCGCCCCGCTGTGCAAGTGCAGTGAGCCCAAGAAGGCCGAGACGGGGGTACTGTCCCACGAGGTGGCCTCACCTTGCAGTCCCTCAGAGCAGATACTTTCAAGGGCCTATGGCAGCTAACATGCACAGGGGCTTGGCAACGACCAAGGCCCTGCTCCCGTGGCTCTGTTGGGCCGGGGGAGGACAGATGAAGAGCGAGTAGACAGTACGAGTGTGCGGGGCTGGGTATGGCACACCTGTAGCGACAAACGACACAGTGATAGGGCGGGAAGTGACGAGGACGCTGCCGTCCCATCCGGGGCAGTGAGGAGAGCCTCGGTGCACGTGGGGCGGAGGCCTGCAGTAGGAAGCTGGGGTGCAGTGGGGAGCAATCTGAGGGAAGGCCGCACCAGCCAGAGACAGCAGCGAGTGCGGAGCCCGGAGGTGTGGGCAGCTCCTGTGGCTCTGTGGCAGGGTTAATTTTAGCCACCGTGTAGCAAGCGTAATTATATCCGACAGGAAGGGAGACGCTCACAGCCTCCTATTCAGAGACCGGAGTGTGGCTCCTCTATTTACAGGGCTCTCAGAGACTGATGGCTCACTCAGCCGCCGGAAGCCGGGGCCTGGATGACGCGTCCTCGGGGCTCAGCCACTTTCTGAAAGAGCCGCTGCCACGACTGCTCTTCCTCCACGGAACGCTTTCCCTCCTGCAACAAAGCGACTTCCCGCCTCCTCCAGCAGACACAGCGAGAGGACAAGAGAAGCGAGAGCTGAGAGAGGGGCGTGGCGGCGCCAGAAGTCTCAAGCAAAGAGCCTGTCCCTCAGCAGGGGAGGCTGCTGCATCCAAACGGAAAGGCTTCATGGCAAGACCGGTTACTGATCGCGGCGGGGATGACCCCAGAGCAAGTTGTAGGCGGCTGTGTGTGCTGGGCGGGCGGGGATCACACGGACCCTGCCACTTACGGGAAGGGCCCACACGCGGCCGAAGTCCCAGCCTCGCTTCCTTATCCCGAGTCACTAGTCGCTCTTCCCCACCACGTCTGGCGCCAGAGAGCACGGCAGGCCGTCAGCCGTGTCTGGTGGCCGGGCCGCGTGGCACCTGCCCTCTCCGTAGAGAGCAAGGCGACCAGGAAGACACGGGAGCAAAGGTGCCCACTCTGATGCCACGTGCCAGGAACGACGGAGGGCGGGCGCGCTTCCCAAGTCTCTTTAAGAAGCACACGCAGCCCCAGAGGACGGTTCTCCCAGAGCCCTCCGGTCAGGCCCAGAGCGCCGACGCCCGGGGCTAGCTCAGCTGGAAGGGGCTATCGCTAGAAGCGGCTTGGAAGGAACGGCCTGGGCTGCCCCGGAGGCATGGCTCCCGGCTGCTCGCTCCCGGCTCGGCAACGCGGCTGCGGTGCAGAAGGTCTCTCCACAGCTGAAGGCCTTACTGAGGAAAGGTCAGCAATAGGTGCAGCACACACTGCCTATGATCGCCTCAGGACTCCGGCTGAGCGCCCGCCACCTTCCTCACTGGGGCAGCGTGGGTGGTGCCAGCCTGGCCACAAGCTTGCCCCTGTAGGGATCGCCTCAGGACTCCGGCTGAGCGCCCGCCACCTTCCTCACTGGGGCAGCGTGGGTGGTGCCAGCCTGGCCACAAGCTAGCCCCTGTCGTCTGGGATCAGCCGACACTGAGCCAATCCAGGTGTGCGAGGAGCGGGATCTGGGGACGCTCCCCTCGAGCACCTGCCACAGGTGTGCGCTCCTCTTCCCAGGTCTGCTCAGCTGGCCGGTGAGGTCGGAGGGCACAGGCTCAGGGCTGCTCTCTACCGAGGTCGGCTGCAATCTGGGGTCTCTAAACCACCTCACTTCCCACCATTCACAGAAGGGCTCGAGGAAAGCGGCTGCACTCGGTTCCAGTTCAGCATACGCAGACTCAGACCAGTCCAGAAATGGCGTGTAGGACAGTGTCCGTGGCCCTCCCCGGGTCTGTGTATGCTACCCTTCAGGGGCCAACACGTGACAACACACTTGGCGCTGTGCAGACAGGACAAGAGCCTCCGTGTCCATCATGGCCATGACCGATGGACGCGTCTAAATGACACGGTGTGGTACAGCCTCCAGCCAGTCCATGCCCTAAGCAGACACTCCTGTCCTCTCAGTGCCCTTCATGGGATGTGGGTGGGCACACGTGCACACACACCTGTGTTTTCAACCCACCAGGTCCCCAGCTCAAACCACACGGTCAGTTCTGTGGGATGCAAGCACCTTAGCCACCATGCCACCTGTGGGCCCCGGGTGGCTTTAATTCTTTGTGGTTATCTGTATTTAATAATATGTCTCTGTTGAAAATGTACCACTTACAACATATGGAAAAGTAAACTTTTAATAGGAGGGAAGCTACAGCAAGTTTTCCTAAACAGGGTACTATTTTACAACTAGTATTTCACAGAGGTACGCCATCGCAGGTCCGACTCAATTCCACAGGACACACATTTCTTTGTGTAATTTAAACAAATGCCGGGAAAGCAAGTTCAAGCACCCTGGGCTAGTTCATTTACTTCTGCAAGTAACTCTCCACTTACAGAGAGCCTCCGACAAAGATCGTGGGGAGGTGAACCTGGCAATTTCTTTTAAAAATAATTTTTTTGTGGGACCAGCAGAGGGCGTCATGGTTACATTGCTAGACTCCCGCGTAGTTGACTGCAGTTTAAGTCCCGGACCCGACAGCTTAAAACTCACGCTGGGCACGTGTGCGTGCAGGCCCAGAATCCCGAGAGGAGCACTGAGAGGGTGGGAGTGTGCTTTCTGTCTCTCTATCTCTCTGGCAAGGGGGTGGTGGCGGGGTGGTTTCTTGCTTTCTGTCTCTCTATCTCTCTGGCAAGGGGGTGGTGGCGGGGTGGTTTCTTGCTTTCTGTCTCTCTATCTCTCTCTCTGGCAGGGGTGTGGTGGTGGGGTGGTTTCTTGCTTTCTGTCTCTCTATCTCTCTCTCTGGCAGGGGTGTGGTGGTGGGGTGGTTTCTTGCTTTCTGTCTCTCTATCTCTCTCTCAGACCAGTCCAGAAATGGCGTGTAGGACAGTGTCCGTGGCCCTCCCCGGGTCTGTGTATGCTACCCTTCAGGGGCCAACACGTGACAACACACTTGGCGCTGTGCAGACAGGACAAGAGCCTCCGTGTCCATCATGGCCATGACCGATGGACGCGTCTAAATGACACGGTGTGGTACAGCCTC